TTTATTTTGCTTTATTTTTGTTGTTTTTTGCTCGATAGTATAGAGTCTAATATTGTATAGATAATGGTACGGAACCCTTCCTGCGCTAGTTCGATTCGTACTTGGCCGGTTTTTTCGTTTGTTGTTTAACGACAAATCCGAGGTGTTAACATTCCGATAATACGTTTTGTTATTTATTTATTTATTATCTTAGGGCAGCTAACAGCTTTTGAAAATAAAGATAACAGCAAAAAATATTATTAGAAGCTGTTGACAAGCTACCACATATACCTACTATATAGTTGCGAACAAAGAAATAACTCTTCTTGGCAAATATGCTTTTTGAGATTTTCCTAATTGGCAACTGGTTGTGTATCAAGAATAACAATTCTTCTATCACAAGTGGTTGCCACGAAAGAATAGACAGTTGTGATGGCGGCCGAGAGGAAACCCCTTTAATTCTACGAGTACATAGTTGAGTAACTTTTTATTTCTTATGTTTTCTCGTCCAATTATCATCATTTAATAAAACCACTTTCTTTTTAAATCGTATTTTCATAATAATATTTGCAAGTTTTTTTATTTCAAAATATATTACAATAAAATAATACTAAAGTATTCGTCATTATAACCAAATGGCTGCTAGATAAGTGCTTTTATAAAATTAATTATTAGCTTTCAATCTATACGTTTTTTTTTCACTTTAATACTAAAAAGAAAAAGAGACAAAAGATGCATTTCTAATTTTCACCACCCGCACGTGGCTCCATTTGGCAATGCGCACCATTTTCTTATTAGAAAAAGTTTGCTTCATTACTTAAATTAGATATAGGTACTGTTTCATGCAAATGTGATGGAAAACGTATGACATTAGTGCGGAATTGTTATTAACAAACACGTTACAATGGTAATTACATTCGTCTCCTCGTTTGCAATAACCAACTTACCGTACTAATGTCTATACTTATAATAAATCTGTAGAGAGGTCAATTCTGTACATGAAATATATTTTCAGAATAACTATCAGGGGGTGATTAGTGATCGATACTGATGCCAAAAATGCAATCAGTAAAATTTTTATCCGTCTGTCTGTCTGTATGTATGTTCCTTATAGAAACAAAAACTACTCGACGGATTTTAACGAAACTTGGTACAATTATTCTTCATACTCCTGGGCAGGTTATAGTATACTTTTCATCACGCTAAAATCAATAGGAGCAGAGTAGTGAAGGGAAATGTTGGCAAAACGGGAGAAGTTACTCCATTTTTTAAGCTTCCGTCGCGTGTGCAGCCTTAATGGTTAAAGTTACATAGAAATCATGTATGACGGAAATATTCTACATAAAATTGTCTAAAAAATATCCCGCAACAACATATGTCTATCTGTTATGGTTAACTCACAATAATACGTGTAATTATATAAATAAAGTCATTGTTTATGGCACAAGCCTGAGAACAAAAACTATAGTTTACACTACAGCTTTACACCGAAGCGAAGCGAGGGCGGGCCACTAGTCGTAAATATGTCGTAAAAATGGCCGAGTGGTTTGTACACCAGGTTTCATGGTGTCGCCGACTCGAGAGGTTCCCGGGTTCGAATCCCGATGGGGGCAGATATTTGTGTGATGAATACGAGCATTTGTATTCCAGTCATGGGTGTTTAATATATATTTATATATGTACAGTACCTATATATATTCTATCCGTTACCCTAGCATCCCATAACACAAGCCTTACAGTGCTTACTTTGGGGCTAGGCTAATTGGTGTGAGTGTTTAAAAAAAAAACTATTACTCTTTTAAACAACCTTTATACATATTTATATATTTCCTCCGGTTCTTTTGCTAGTTAGGTACTTAGTCGAAGAAATATGAAAACAAATGTTTGATTTTCTTTGTTTTATTTGCCAGCTAAAGTAACTGTTATACAGTAAGGAGTAAGCACCTTTCTAAATTCTACGAAGTTTTCAGTGCTCAAATTGATATCAACGTAAACATGGTTATTTTATAAATACGTTCAACATTAATGTTCTTGTGTATTGTCATATTCATACGTAGAAGGAACAGCAACGTAATTTTATAAAAAAATAATTCTAGCGTTTAATTGCTACATTTTTGTATCTTCATCATGATTAGTAATGTTTAAAGTGAAACTTTTATAACATCGCCATAAATAAGATGTTATCAAAGTGGTAGTCAGTCAATAATTATGTTATTATAATTATTATTAGAAATATATAAATATAAATAAATATTCCCGACACTCACACCAATTAGCCTAGCCCCAAAGTGAGCACTGTAAGGCTTGTGTTATGGGATACTAGGGAAACGGATAGAATAAATATTTTGTACATATATAAGTTTATTCAAATATAAATACATAGGTATTAAACATCCATCACTTGAGTACAAATGCTCGTATTCATCACATAAACATCTGCCCTCACCGGGATTCGAACCCGGCACCTCTCGAGTCGGCGACACCATGAAACCCGGCGTACAAACCAATCGACCACGGAGTTCGTCGAGGAAGAAGGGAATAAAATAAATTATATTTTTTTGTGAACCGTGCAACGATATTAATGTCTAAATCTAAAGAAAATATAACTAGAAAAAATTCCACGCGGACCAGGCAGCAGACGGGACTCGAACCCGCACCCTTCGCAATCCGGGCGAATGCACTGACCAATTATGCTACCGCGGCCCTCACGGACCGCGTCGAAATTCCTCTAGCCATTCTTAAGCGGCAAGGCAGCGCCATCTCTTCGCATTATAGGTAACCCACAATGTCAAATGAATACTTTTACAAGGATTTTTTTTGGAAGGAGCCAGTAGAGCGGTAGCATAATTAGTCAGTGCTTTATAAAAATAAAAATTATAACGATATTAATATCGTTGGAAACGTATTACAATTAAGTGCACTACATGCCATAAAAAATTGGATTCTGCCGGAGACTTTGTACCACTATCCATACAAATTTGAAATCTCCGTCGCCTTCATCTTTATCGTCATGAAATCTTCATCTTTATTTATTTATTTCCGATATAAAATTAAGTTTGGGATACATATCTACCGTTAAACTGTTTTCACAGTTTGTAGGCGTTGCGCTTATTTCCATTTTAGAGATATCAATTGTAATTAATATAAAATCTTTTTTATAATTTATGTTAACAGAACACTTATAAATATTATAGGTAGCCTACTTATTTAATAAAGAAAATATATGTAATTAACTTTTACTAACAATTTAATTATTTCGAATATTTAATTTGGCTTGATGGATATTTAAATCTAAAGAAAAATTTACTAGAAAAAAATGTAAACTTATAAATGGTAAACTTATTTTTATTTTACATTTCATGGTAATTATCTATGTGTGTTTTTTTAACTTATTCTTCATTTGTTTTTTATTTATTTAAACAAACATTATTTTAATTTTCTTCTTAAAGCGAACTTACATTTTGAATCTTCTAATAACAAAGAGTAATTATTGTACAATTTGGGTATAACATACTTTCTAGGGCCTTCCGAAGCTCGGAGGAACTCGAGATAGAAGTTTTAGTTATTCTAGTTCTTTCTCCATAATAATTATTGGCTTTGACCTTTTTATTCGTTGCAACATTATGCTGAGGTGGGGCCTAGTTGACGATGTACCTTTTGTTTTATGTTTGTTGTGTATTTATTGTAATTGATTGAATGTCGTCAATAAATGTTTTTCTTTCTTTCTTTCTATTTTCTATTGCATTTAGCATGCATTACATTTTAATGTCCATAAAAGATTTAGACTTTATCAACGCGCATCGGTGGCAGTGGTTTGAAGCTTGACCGCTACGCGGAAGGCCCAGGTAATATTCCTATTATACTCTTTATTGCATACAAAAATTGTAAGTCCTAGCCGTAGAAGGACTTTTGGTAAAACTGTACTTCCAGGGCCCAAAAGGTGATACTTGTTTTTTTTTGTAGAAAAGCCCTTTTTAACAGATTTTTTTTCTAGCACTTCGCTGGCCGCTGCCACGGCACGCTCGCTTTGCTCGCTCGGCTCGCGCGTTATGGTCACAACACTAACCTAACCTAGTGTGAAATATCACCACTTGGGCCCTGGAAGTACAGTTTAGCCGGACTTTTATTTATTAATGATTTTTAAAGTTTTGATTCATGGTTTCAATTAGGCATGTGTCCGATATATCAAAACGAATCCAAAATCCGATTTCAAACACAAATCGATACCGAACGATTTCTCAACAAGAAAATCCGATTTCAGAAATCTAACCGAACCAAAACGCTAGCGATCTAATACCACCACAAGTATCCAAATGTAAATCGGATTCGAAATTCGTGCTTTCGTTTTCGGAAGTCCGATTTCGGTTTGCTGTTTACGGAAATCTATTGTTCTTCTCTAAGGCGGGATTATTTATTACTGAAAAAGATGTCGTCTAAAAACATCAAAAGTCGAGCAACTGACATTTTTTGAACGCTAACCTGAAGTAATTAGGTTTGATTTTGTAAATGGTTTGAAAAATAATAAAAACAAAAAAAAAATACTAAAAAAATATGTAAAAAGAAATCATTGTATATAAGCCGATTTTTAAATGCGCCGCAAAAGTTTTACTTTTAACCACCTTTTAACCGTAAAGATAACTTTTCTGCTAGTCCTAAGCCACAGAATATATACTCTTGCCTAAGCCTAGATTTAAAGCATAAAGGAAAATCGCGCAAATCTACGAGTATCCTTGCTTCGTACAATTAATTGTTTGTGATTGTCGTTAGCTAATAAAACCAAATCATAACACAAACTAGTGAATTGGCTAAGTTCGGCACATCTGAAATCGGATATCTAAAAACGGATTTTAAAATCGATTTTGAAATCTGAAATCCGATAAATATCCGTTTGCGTTCAAAACCAAAAACGCCCATGTCTAGTTTCAATAAAACAAATCATATTTTTTGTGTTTTTAATACCTGTGTGGTACCTATACCACAAAAAAAAGAATAAAGTACTCTTCATGAGTTTTAACTTTTACCTGATTGTTGGTAATCAGCCCTCTTTTCTTCCATATAGTCGCGTCCTTCAGCACTGCCCGATCCGTCCACATCAACGTTCTCAGAACTCTGGTTGCTTTCATCGTCAGAATCACAATGCACCTCACTATCCCTAGTACTACTCGAAAAACTACTCAAAGCACTCGTCGAAGGATATTCTTCTTTCTCTTTATCACTTTCGAATTTATCAGCCAGCAAACTGTCAATCGAGAACGGCAGTTTTGTGTCCGTCTTCTCGACTATCGATTCAGCATGGTCTTGTTCTACCTCCATATCAACATTAACGGAATTCATAATTTTCTTTTTTCGAATTTGGAACCGCGTGCGCTCTTTGCCCGTAACGTCTTCGAACTTCCCGCCGAATAATGTCTCACTTTTTCAGCTCGCATCGGTTTTAGTGACAACTAACTCACGCGCAACAATAATTTAGACTAATTTGAAACCTTAACGGTGCGTTTTTGTCGAATCGTACCGCTGAAACGAACGTGAGACGGGGAATGTTAACTGCCTCTTCTGAAAAACATATTTGCCCTATAAATATACGTATATACCTTTTGTTTATGACTGTAAAGTCCAGATTCGTTCGCGTGTTAGATTTCTCGAGTGACTGATTAGAATGAAGATGGAGAGCTTCGACTAATGGGCGTCGTTTCTGGATGACAATTGTATAAAGCACTTTTAGTGGTAGCGTTGGTTGTTATAGATTTTATGTTGAAAGGAATAGAGTTGATATTCGTTCGGGACAAGTTAAATGATGCAAATAGCTCGCGGGCTGCTATCCAAGATATAATTAGAGATGAACCAATGGTGGTTCGGGGGCGTGACCAAGTGCGCTCGCGCCTCGCCGATCAAACTACGATTTATTTATACCGTGTGAGATATGGGAGAGCTCATTAATTGTGATAATTATTTGGTTAGTTCGTTTAATTGGGCTCGTCACATGTTCTAGCCATGGCAGACGGATTTATAAGGGTGTTGCGATAATTTAGGTAACAGATTTATTAGCTATATAATGGCTCCCGATGATGCTGAGGTTTGGATCGTTGTGCAGATTTAAGATCAATTTAGAGCCACTTTAAATAGACTTAATTGCTTTTTAGTGCGCTTAAAGTGGGTAAATTATTTTCCTATATTTGCAATGGAGCATCGACGAGTTGTTTATTCGTTTCATCATAATCATATTATCTGAATTATCACACAGGATTTTAAATCTTGAATTTTTCACGGAGAACCTAAATTATGACTATTACTATTATTGTGCTTCGACTATATTATAGACTTGCTTTTTTCTTGTACCCTCATGTCGTATATCTATCTACTGATAATAATAATAATCTTTATTTCTGAACTATATCACGTATACAATATAACAATTTAGCGTTAACAACTGTAGTATTCTAAGACTGTGTTACAGTTATTAGCGCCCACCTCAAAACATAAATTATACTGATAAATTAAACTTCATATCTTAACATAAGTACAGGATTTTCCATTGACAATGAAATGCTTAAACGCAAAGATTCGTTAAGAAAACAGCAGCAACAACTTATAACTTACACGAATAAAAAATAAAATGTACTGTAGGTATGATTATTCTTTATTTATTAATAAATGCATAAATGCATGCATCCAGCTCTACTTACTAAAATCACATAAGTATAATATGTTTGTTTTTGTTTGGTTAACTACGATATATTCCTTACAATCCTCTTCATCCTAAGGTTGTCTGGAAGAAATCGCTTTTAGCGATAAGAACGCCCATTGAAGCAATCTTTTTTACAATTGTTAATTCCCTCATTTCTGTACTATGTTGTGGTGTGGTATTTTCAATAAAGTATTGTGCATTGTATTAATATACTTTTACACTAGTGTTGGAATTTTTGATAACGAAGTTCAAACGAAATTTAATTTTATCAATTTAAAGTTATACTTAATTAACTATCAAATTGAAGCTTTCTTTGAGTAGGTTTAGAAAATCTACACCTCAATCTATATTCCGACGACGAATATTATTATAATTAAAAACGAACCAGAAAGATTACACAGTAAGAAAAGTGGGAAGTTTCTATCGTAATTTAATTTTTCGTTGAATTTGAATAGGCCTCCCAGTGGCCTCCTAAGCCGATATTACTATTGATTTCGATCTGCAGTTTAGCTAGAGCCGAGGACAGAGTCTCAAAGACACCCTCTAGTTGAGTCGAGGCCATTCAGACTCGAGTAGCCTATAAGGCTCTAGGAAGGAAAGGAGACTCACCCCGGGGAAGATGCCATCCACCTAGAATAGCACTAGATACATTCGCTAATACGCCGCTTGAGGTCCTCTTAAGATCTCGTCGTCTCCAAACACTGTGACGTTGTGTAAAAGTCATCGGATGTCCGTCCGCCTGTCCGTTAGTCTATCAGAGAGCTGTATCTTAGCAGGAACTGTAAAAGGTAAACTATTGAAATTGTTTAAGTTTAAGTACATTTCTATAGCCACAACATACAACGGTATTGGTAAAAATAGGTTCCCAATATCCCAATACATTTCTATTACCTACCGCTCCAACGGCAACGGTAAAATAAATGGAAAGTTTTTTTTATAGATAGTGTTTTTTTTTGTATTTAAAAGGTTTACCAACAATTGTAACACTTAAGCAATTTCAATTATAGACACGGAGACACTTATATCAATGTTACCATTAATAATTATACTTATGTTACTTTGTCCAAAAAAAGGGTCATTTCAAAAATAAAGGATCTACAATTAATAATAAACATCTCGGGCACTCAGTCCGTCAAGTTCCTACTAATGGCTGAAGTTACTGCACTAGGACTATCAAAGTAAATCAATTTTATCACTAAAGCCGTTCAAAATTTTACAGAATCTCGTATAAGGAGAGTTAGCGGCTGGGCAGAGTGGCGTGATTGGCTTACGATGCATTCTAGAAGGAACACGCAAATTGGCAAGATTTAACAAATGTGGACATTGAATCTTGTTACTCAAGATATTACTTAAAAATTTAGCATCCATGAGAGACCTCCGTTTTGCCAGAGAGGTAATTTTGAAAAAGCTCAGTCTACCCATATATGACTTGGTTTCACTCCACCCTACCTGATGTTAAGTGACAGTGAAGTCCAGACGTGAAGATAGCTAGTACAGCAGTTCTACCTGTCACTCCGGCCATCCTCACCTTGCCGGTCTGCATGTTGCTTCTTCATGCCTCTTTTAAAGGATCCCAGGTTGTAAGAAGGTAAATAAAATGAAGCACCAAAACAAACAAGTAAATAAAATGAAGCACCAAAACAAAATGCATGTATTTTTCTCGACGTTTTTTGCTCGCCTTATGTGTTTGTTACCTTAGCTAAAAGTGATAAATTTTGTATAATGGGTACGGAAATCAGAACCCCTCGCTCGCAAGGCCGAATTACTATTAGGTTCTATTTATACTTATGATTAACTTTTAATGATCTGCCATCCGGTCCCGTAATTAATTTTCCTGTATAAGTGCTCTTTCATAATACTAAGTATCTAAGCCATCCCGATCAAGTTCCGTTTTGAGAACAAACGTCATCTCTGACGATTAATAGAGAACCGAATGTTAGCAATAACTAAACTAATAAATTTGAAAAAAAAAAGCTCCCGGCCCACGTCCTCTTGTCTTTACGCATAGCCGACATATTTTGTCATAATTAAAATCGGTGGCGCTAGCTTGTGTTTTTGTTCGTCGTTTTTTTTTTATGATTGATGCGCTGTTGTATATTTGGGAAGTGGTGAATAGGTGTTGGAACACGGGTTCCGGTCGTTTTGAGAAACGTATTTCTTCGCGCTGTCTTTAAAATAGTTGGCTGTTGAGTAACTCAAGCTTTAAAATAAATGTAGTAATGATTATGCAGTTTCTTATACGACGAACTCCTTGGTGAGTGGTTTGTACGCCGGGTTTCATGGTGTGCCCGACTCGAGAGGTCCCAGCTTCAAATCCCGGTGGGGGCAGATGTTTGTGTGATGAATACGAGCATTTGTACTCTTGTCGTGCATGTTTAATATATATTTCTATACGTAATATAAAGTATATGTAATGTACAGTATATGTATTCTATCCGTTACCCTAGTATCCCGTAACATAAGCCTTAGAGTGCTTACTTTGGGACTAGGCTAATTGGTGTGTGTTGGAAATATTTATTTATTTATTTTTAAATGTATAACTGACCCGGCGAACTTCGTACCGCCCAAAATTAATAATTTGAAACAAAATAATATTGCAACTATATATATATTGAGATGTAAGCTATTCTGTCTTTCAAGTTGGATCAAACTGCACATGATGTGCAAATTTGATTAAAATCGTTTAAGTACACACATCAAAAGTGTCTAGGGATCAAGCATTTTTATGCGGATTTCTTGAGATTGAGATGTGGCTTTGTAATAAATTTATGATTTTATAAATTTATATGGATCCTTTTTGGTGCATTTCATAATTTGAATCAGGAACTGTGAATCAAATTCGTGTAAAAGATGAAAATCAGCTGTCAATATTTTCCCTATAAAAACATACAACGCATTGAAGACATTATTAGTGCTACTGTTTCCCTACTACTGATTAAAACCAACGTTATTATGGAGCGGCGACGTCATTTAAGCAGGGAAGAAATGCTCAGAGCCGTGGGAATGATAGAAGCTGGTTCCAGGCAACGTACTGTGGCTTTAGCTCTGAATACAAGTCAGAGTGTTATCAGTCGACTTTGGACACGATACCGAAGCACTGGTACCGTGGCTGAGCGCCATGGAGGACGGTATCGCTGCACCACACGGAGACAAGACCGATACATTCAAATCTTAACTCGAAGAGCTCCAACAATAACCGCCATGATGTTAGCCGTGAGGCTTCATCACTCTTCAGGGAACTTAATTAGCGACCAAACAGTCAGAAACCGCTTGCATGAAGTGAACCTTCATTCCCGAAGACCGCTACGGGTACCACCTATAGCAATGCACAATCGTAGGATTCGATATCAATGGGCTCTTGAACACAGAAATTGGGCAGAAGAACAATGGCGTTTCGTGTGCTTTTCTGATGAGTCTCGTTTTGGTATGAGACCGGATACAAGACGTATACGACACTGGAGAACCCCTGGACGCCAACAGCGATTAAAATCCTGCCAGGAAGTCCATCCTTATAGTGGTGGAACCATCATGGTATGGGCGGGTATTTGGATCGGCGGAAGAACTGAGTTGATTTGGATCAGAGGCAACCTCAACGCTCAAATTTATGCTGAGACGATTGTATCAGACG